TAAGTGGAATGTAATTCATAATTAATGTCAAACTTTCTCAATTTAAGTACTTAGAACTTACTTTGTAACTCTGACCACTCTTTCAGACACTCATTTCCCGACTTTACTTATTAATTTTCTCTCAATTACGTCTTCAACTGTTCCTTGAAGCAGTAAAATTAAACTTAGGCTTCTCAAGCTGGAATTCCAGAGGTAATCAAGACTTCTTATTACGTTAGATAAGAAGGAATATACAGAGGCTTCCACGGCTGTGATACTTCTTAAGCTTCTGAGTAAAAAAAACTTGATACGAGATCCCTTTTAATTTTGGTCAATATTCACTTCAGTAAGAGCGGAGCCCTACCCTTTGCAGGTTTTCTGTGTCATACTACAGAAAGGGAACTGTTATGCCCACTTTATTAAGTACAACGCAGTCCGAAGATTCACTTCATGATTTCTCTTAACCTCTTCACTGCGTTACCATACCGTCGAAAGTAATGCAAAGAAAACTTTGCTGTGACCTTTATACTAGTTTTGGAAGGAAGGAACTTCATTAATAGTTCTTGACAAAACAAATTCAATTACGAGTTAGAGACTGAAAGTTCGTATCTTGGTTTTCTTGATCAGCACCGTAAAAATAAATTGAGCAAAAAGAGGTGACAAAAAAAATGAAGCACAGCAAAGCATTCTAAAGAATAAAAAAGTTGGGCCCAATCTAATCGTTTAAACAGCAACTAATCAGAGCATAAGATAAAACACCAATAAATAGCTAACAAAACGATAAATGTCGTGATGTAAAAACATTTCTTTCTGACTCTTTCCAACCATTAATTTTTTTAATTTTTAATTGCTAATACCACGTGATGAAGAAGTGTTCAATATGATCTTTTAAAATAGAAAGCTTCATTTTTTTCTTTACGTTTAAGTCAATTAGTGTCTTTTTATTTCATTGTTTGATCTTTTGACTTCATTAGGCAGTACTCTAGACTACTCTATGAAATCATTGTTACCGACTAGCAAGGATGTCAAGTATAGTTCAAAATGCGGTTTACCGGCAGCTTTTTTGGAGAGTCAGCACTTCTGACGTGCTTCTTTGACAGCGTTTGCTGAAAATTATTGAATCCGTTGTCGGAGAACTTTCAGCTGCGCAGCAATTCTCAGACAAGCATGATTTGTGACTCCAATATGTTTACAGTAGTACTTTTAAATCTCTAGTGCTATTTGCTACTTGCGACTTTTCGCGGTGCAGCTCACTGTTCCCAAAAGCTTGATGCAGTAACATTCGCCATACTGACTCTCTGCCTTTGCGCTCTCACTTACAAGGAATCTCGTAGTTAACGTCTCATTGCTGTTTGTAAGTCCTGAGCTGGAGGATACGGAGTTTTGCCATTACACAAAGACCGTTAAGTCTGA